AAAATGTAATAAAATCAAGGTACATGTCTGGCTCAATATATATATATATATATATATATATATATTTGGAACAAGAATTATTTATCCATATCTTAGTTTAAAAAAAGAGAAGAAAAGTCACAGTGCTAGTTACATACAACAGAAACAGAATTCCCCTAAAGTACATGGAAAAACCATACACAATATGACAAGTTTTCAAACAACAATGGTGCTAAAATGCATTAACTATACAGTACTGAAGTTCTGATAGTGGATGCTGCTGCAGATACATAATTATAATTAGGAATGTGAATAATCAACAAACTTTCATATTAAATGACATTACTTTCATTATTTTTGTACCCATTTTCAGACTGTTTTTTCTCATCCTCTATCACATTTGGCTGAACGTCAGGATCTTCAGCAGGCTCCACAGGCAAGTTATTCTCTTTTAATTTATCTTTAAAGAGGGAATAAGGATTTCCTGGATTCTTATCCACTTTGTCTGTAATTTCAATCTTTTTATTGGCTTGGTCTTCATTCTGCTTTTTCAAAGCTAATAAATATATTTAAAAAAAATGGTAATGAAAATAACCTTTTTCCAATAAATCTAATATTTTAAAACCTGAAATGTACATGTAGAAACTTTTACCATAAAAATTAGACCAATCTAATGAAAGAACAGGTATTCAATTCAGTACAACAAGTAATAAAACAAATTATTAATATTACATATCATCTCAACACATACAGGTTAAGTACATTGGATGTATGCAACAATGAAACTGTGTTATTGGCTCAATACTGATAACACTTATTATTCAAATTAAATATGGTAGCTACATGTCTCTACATTGGGCAATAAAAAGATACTCATATGCAAATAGATGGGTGTTCTATAAATATATATGTATAGGGATAAACATAAAATGGTTAGTCAGTGTAGTATAAGGGAGGGTGACATGCCACCACCTTTTTTATATTTACATTCAAATTTTAATTAAACTACTTTATTATCAATGTAAAAGTTTTTTTTACCAAGAAATGCATTTCACATACATACTTACCTTTCTGCAGCACTAAGAGCCATTATGTCTCATGTAACTGCAGTGGAATTTCTTGAACATGCCACAAATCTTGAACAAACTTCCACCCCTACATATGTCTATGTTTATTGATCAAGCATATGATGTAATTGTCATAATAATGTAGCCCTCCACCAATAGGAAGGCAACACAACCTCCGAGCATGGTAATCCCTATAAGCACTAGCATATAATTATTGGCTCATTCTTAACAAAGCCAAGAAAATACACTGGAAGTGGGGAGAAAGGATAGGTAGATGGCAGAGAGGTATCTATCTGACAAACATTATCAGCTAAGGAAAATGTTAACTTCAGAAATGCTACTTATCGCTCTGCCAGTGCTGATCATTTACAAAGATGAGCTTCTTTCTAAAATATTGCACTGGAAAGGGAAAGCCCATGTGGTGTAACTTCCATGAAACTGAGGGTCACCTAGTAGAGCAGCACCTTTTGGGAGACCACATTCTTCTTAAGCAGAGAATACTCTTTGCCCAACTTGTTATTTATTCATTCATATATTACTATTACAGAGCAGAGAGATTTACAAAAATGGTTCTCAGTTAAATCAAGTGCCAGTGGTAATGTGTTGCAAAGGTGGGCAGAACATGAGAATGTGTAATGTGGCTAGGGTGTCAGGCCATTCTGTCTTGGTGAAATACTTACATGAGATATATATTATAACAACAGGTGGAGGGAGAAAGAGCTCATACCTGCGTCCCGAGGCAAATCTATGTTCCATCTAGGTAGATGTATCCACCAGGAATTGCCTGGGATATTGTAATGGGGTGTCATGTACTACACTTCTAAGGAATACTCCATCCCTACATCTCAAAGGAGGAGTTGGCCCAACTGGTCTCTTGGTGGGAGAAAAGCACCAATCACAGAGGAAACTCATCATATCAACATCTCCAGTGGCTTGGGAGTGGGCAAGTAAAGGTATTGGGTTCTCCCATGCTCCACAAGAAGAAAAGAGGGAGACAAATATGCATTATGGGGGACACCAGAGAGTGTGAGTGGTGCACTATAATCAAGCACAATCATCTAGAATAGGGTCCACACTAAGAGACAGTACAATGGGTTACTACAATTAAAGACAGGAACTATGAGCCAGGTGTAAGAGCCAAACTATAACTGGTACTGTATTTGCTTTTGTAAAGGCTGTGCAAACAGTCATGTCAATGGTAGAGATATACTGCCAAAGCAGTCTTACATCTCATAGGTGGGCACTGGAGCAGGGACAGATGGGTTTAATCATCACTAAAAAAAAAAAGAGGTCAAGCCTAATAAGCCACAATCATCTCCAGAAAGTTGATTATCAAAGAATGTTCTTCTGGAGACCAGACCCCTGAGACAGTGGTAATGTTGAGAACCACCCATCCCAACTAGAATGAGAGGAATTATTGGAAAAATGTAAGTCAAGCCAAGGGGTGAAGTGATATATCCCAAGACAGATTGGAGTAATTAAGCCACCACAACAGAAGGATGTAGAGTTAAAGGTAAGATATTCAAGGGCAGATAAGGAAATAAACAAGTTACAATGATCCCTCAAAGTCTCCACTGACGGGAATATATATGTGCACAAAGGAGGGGAATCACAGTTCCTAGGAAAGCAGGAATCCTGAAGTTGGAAAGAAAAGTGCATTGTATACCAAAATCTCCAAGATATGAATACATAAGGGAGAGGGTTGAGTCCATCCCATACAAAATTTGAGGAAATCTGCCAAATGGACAAGAAACTGAGTGAGAATCAAAACAGACTTGGAAAGTGAGACCAACCAGCTCAAGCAAGAGGCCTTCTGAAGAAGAGTGGAGAGGTAGTAATCACAATTTCAAACATATAATAATGGAAATGAAGGGCCAGAAAATGCATGCACTAAGCAAATGAATGCATGAGCCAGCTGAAAATATAAGGGAGCATAGCAAAGTTGAGTGGAAAGGCACAGAACTAGAAGAAATGATAAAAGAAAGGATAAAACAGAGGAATGATAGAACACAAGACAAACGAAAGATGCAATTCTCAATCTGCATTTGGCTGTATCTCTTGGGCTGTGCTTAACCAAGGTAGGTGTTTCAAATCCATTCCTTCACACTTTTTGAATTCAGGAATAAAAAGAAAGTGATTCTGAGACAACAAGTCAATGACTGTGTCAAACCCTTGACTTCATGGGGATGACAAAAAAGATAAGAATAAAAGCCCTGAGTAGGGTGGAAGACAGGTTCTATAGCTCCCACAGTTAACAAAGAGGACACTATGTCCTGGAGATGAAAAAGATGCATAGGATTGGTGGGAAGAGAAAAAGAAAGAGGATGATGAGAAAGAAGAGGAGGAGAAAAGAGAAACAATGAGAAAAAATCTTCAAAACCCTAAGGTCACAGGAGGAAGAAGAACACAAGAGGGTAAAGTGAAAGTGGTGGGCAGTGAATGGACCAGAGCCCAGGATCAGTTCCAAAGAAAAGTCATCTGTGAGAACTGCAATGGCTAGCCATGTTGGGGGATGACAAAGAGAAGCAAGAGAACAAGGAACAGGAGATGGGTAGCCAAACATGACTCTCAAGGATGAGTAACAAAGAGAGGTACTTATTAAGCAGTGAGTCAGAAAAATCAAGAAAACTATAGAAGATTGCAGACAAGCAGACTAAGCCAGGGATTCCAATGAGTCAGGAACACACCCAAAAACCAGGTCTGTAAGCAACAGGGCAAGATGAATGTCCTGGATACAGGAAGAAAGGAAGTGGACATCTGACTGAGAAGAACCCCCAAAACAATGAAGCCAGATCAAGAAATATAAAAGGGCCATGAACTGAAACCATTGCAAAGTAATCACAAAATTGAGCAGGACAAGAAATATGTGGGACAACACAGAATTAGGACAGAAAGAGGCACACGAAGTAAAACAATCAAAAAGGCATTATGATATACAGGTAAAAAAAAAAGACAGTATAACACACACCTGATTCATGACTGTAAGGAAACAGAAAAGGAGGAAGTACCTTTTCTTCACCATAGAGAGAAGAGCCAGAAACAAAAGCTAGAGGTGGAAGAGCTGGCCAAAATCATCCACAAGTGAGGCATGTTCCATAGAATGTAAAGGAACAAAATGATAGGGACTGAATTGGAAAATAAATAGGCAGAAGGGAACCAATTACATGAATCATGAAAGCAGGAGAAGTATCAGTAACTTGATGTGGTGCACCATAGTTCATCAAAGCTGAACAAGGTTGCGGAAGATAAGTTATACATGACATCGAAAGCACCTTGCAGGAGCAGAATTCGAAACTTATCACACACAAGAGTGTGCTCTACTAAATAAACTAAAGGGATATTAAGTGAATGTGAGGTCCATGAACAGATAAAGTGCTACCAGTCACCATTGAGTCAGTTGGAGAAAATGACTGAAGAGAATATATATTACTAAACACACATTGTTGAAAGTAGCCTAAAGTAGAAATATGTTGGCTAGAGAAAATGAAGTTGAGAAGGATGGAACAAAAGTACAGCAAGTAAAACAATGTAGCACTAAAGAAAGAAAGCCAGTCAATTAAAATGATTAGAAACTCAAAAGTACAGAAAGAAACATTTTTGAAAACAAGCAGTACAAAGGAAAAAATAAGCCTATGAACAGGTGCTAGTGCTCACAGGTATTACTGCACATGGAGGTTGTGTTGTGCCCCTATTGGTAGAGGGCTATAGTATTATTACCATTACAACATAGGCTGCCACCATACACATAAAAATGTGTAGGGGTAGAAGTTTGTTCTGGGCTTGTAGCATGTGCCGGAAATTCCACAACAGTTGTGTGCAAGGTAATAGTTCTTAGTGGTGCAGATAGGTAGGCCAGTGGCATTTCTGAATTTCAAAAGGAAATATTTGAATGAATTCTCAATCTGCAGCTTGGAGCCACATGACATGGTGGCACTATGGATTCTCATTTATAGAGTTTTGCTCTTCCCTTGTAAGGGCTTCAGATTGTTCCACCAATTAGAAACAAATGTCAAAGATACTGACAAGCCAGAATATAAAATTTCAACCTCTTTTCTTCTTTTACAGAGATATCACTACATTTGTTCAAACGACACTGACACACTCCTTCCATATCCTTTATCTTTTAAGATGTTTCTGTAATTCTCTCTGACATTGCTAGTGGGCATTTTTATAACCAAATTCTAATCTACATAAATCCAATGATTATTTGTTTCATTGTAGCAGTTAAAGCTGATAGTTTGTGGTGAGAGCTTGATGTGTTTAGACTAAAGACATTGCTGTGAGCAGTAATACATTTTTTAAACTATCCATAGGTTAGTTAAAACAACAAACAAATTATAGTTGTTTTGAAACATTATACTCCAGTGTATAATATAACTTTTGTGTTCTAAAGTACATATATAAAAGTTACATGAATTTATTTTGGACAACCAATAAAGTAAGAAAATAAAATGGGCTTACTACTTCACAAACCTATTTGCAAAAAGAC